TGCCCCGTCGCGGCGCCCTGGGGAGCCGCGCGCGGCCCTCCGCTGCCCCGTCGTGGCGCCCTGGGGGCCGCGCGCCGTCCCCCGCGCTGCTGCTCGCGCTCCTGCCCCGTACTGCCCGTTTTAGGGTTTGGGGGTGGCGGGTATGGGGGTGACGGGTGTGTGAACCGTCCCCTGCTCCTCCTCCTCCTCCGTCTCCCACTGCTGCAGCTGCCGCTGAGGGGGGTGGGTGTGTGGGAGCCGAAGGAGTGGTGCTAGGGGGGTGACGTGGGAGTGGAGCTAGGGGTGCAGCAGTGGGTGTGTGAAAGGGGGGTGGGACAGTTGGGGGAGGTTGAACGGAGGCTGCCGTCTTGTCGTCAGCAGCACCAGTAGTCCGGGGCGCTGCTCCGGTATCCCAGTAGTAGCCTGCTGCAGACAGTCGCCCGTGAGTCCGTTGCTCCTGCCGCTCAGAGTTAGCCGCAGAGCCAGTTACTCCAGTAGTCCGGGGCGCTGTCCTGGTAGCCACTGTGCCAATGTCGCTCCTGTTGCCCGTGTGTCTGCAGCTTCAGCCGTCGCCTCCTATCTCCTCTCCTCTTACAGTCCCGCCTCCTCCTCCTCACTTGCCCTTTGTGAATGCCTCTAGCTTTGCTTGTCCTTGTGAACCTGCTCTATGACTGCTTGCTGTGCTGATTATACCCCACTTTGACTATGGGGGTGTGTCCGAATGCTATAATTGTCTAGTCTGCAGTGGGGTACTCTATAGTGAGTACAACCCAAATTAGGGTTTGCTATATGTATCCACCTGCTTACTAGTGAAGCCCTCTTTCTTCTTCTAACTTTCTGCCTGTTATTCTGACATCAACTGGTTAGTCTTCGTCAGTATGGCCCCAATCCTTCTGGCCGTGAAGTAGGTGAGCATCGCTTCTGGGTCCTTTGCACCCACCCCTCCCTCCATCACTGGCGTGTACAGCAGCTCCTTGCTCCATAGGAAGAAACACTTCTCTGATGTCACCTTGTTAGCTGACATGAAAATGTGCGACAGCTTCGTGATGACCCCCCAGGTCCGTGCAAGAGGAGGATACACCTAAGCTTGGGACCAGGCGATGGGTAAGATATAGCCATCCATCACTGCTCTTCTCGCCTTAATCGGGAGATACTGCGGTTGCCACAATGTCATTTTCCCCACGATTTTTCCAGCGCCTTATCCCATGTTGGCTGGCAGCTCCCACTCGGCGTGACCCAGATGCCAAGAAGTTTCTCTGCTTCGTCAGCTCCGGCCCATCTGAAGCCATCCGACCTCCAAGTTTGTTTGCCAAGATTTAGCACCGATCGGCATCACTACCGACTTCGCTTTATTTGTCTCCAGCCCTGAAATCCCTTTGAACTTCTCCAGTATTTCCTCGGCCTTAACGATCTGTTGTTTCCCCTGCAGCAGGAGGGTGGTATCGTCAGCATAGCCGTTGTCCAACACAGTTAGAGAGGGTGATGCCAATTTTCCGCTTCTCCACCATCTGCGCCAACGGCTCCACTGCGCAGAGGAATAGGTAGGGAGCGAGAGGGCAGCCCTGCCTGACACCGGACACCACATCCACCGCTTCCCCCAACCATCCGTTAATTAACAGACTCGTGCGCGTGTTTTCGTGCAGGCCCCTCACCCAGCCAACAAAACGCTCAGAGAAACCCATCTTTCGCAGGACTTCAAAGATGAAGTCCCGGGACACCGAGTCAAAAGCCTTCCGGAAGTCTACCAGCAACATGTACCAGTCCTCCTTGCCGTTTTTTGCCGCATCGATAATGTCTGCTACCAGCCCGACTGCGTCAGAAGCTCTCCTCCCCGGTATGAAGCCAAACTGCTCCGGCGAAATTACTTTGTGCATAACTTTCTTGATCCTGCTCGCCATGACCCGCGCCAGGACCTTGTAGCTGAAATTTAACAGAGTGATCGGCCGGTAATTCTCCAGTTGTTCTTTCGCCCCTTTCTTGTGCAGGAGAATGGTTACCGCGTCCTTGACGCTGGTTGGGAGCGAGGCCGTGACAGTAAACTCCTTCACCAGCTTCATGAGATGCTTCCCCAACACATCCCAGTTCAACTCGAAAAGCTCCTTCGGAAGTCCATCTTTCCCAGGAGTTTTTTTACACGCCATCTCCTCAAGAGCCTGCTTCACCTCCTCCTCGGTCCAGTCCACCTGCAGGCATTCCGCGTCCGAGTACCAGAGCCTCCTCCCTGCCGCTGGGACCCAGTCAGAGGCCATCGTTCTCTTATCCACACCGAAGAGATCCCAGTAGTAACCCGACGCCACGTCCAGGATCTGCTTTGGTTCCGCAACCACTCCTCCAGGTACCGCCAGCTCCGCTATCTGCGTTCTGCCTCTCCGCACCTTAATCCTTGCCGACAGGTGAGGTGAGGGAACTTCTCCGACAAGCTCCTTCGCCATACCCGCCATGTGGTGAGCCTTATCCCTCCGACATGCATGGTATTCTTTTAGCTGCAGTTCCCGCTTCCGCAACTTCTCCTTTAACAGCTGGTCCTTGGGGTTAGCACTGCGACCGCCGATGTGGTTTATTGTCACTCTAATCCGCTTTCTTTCTTCCTTTGCATATGCACGGAGACTGGTGTTCAGGCGAGAGATGAGTGCTTCGAAATCACCACCTTTCTCCTCAACCTGTCGTTCCACTTCCTCAGTTATTTTCCGAGCCCCTGGTCTGTGCATCATAGAAGGGTGCATACGCCACAAGCCAGGTCCGGTCTGCACCTGCGACTTGATTCTGAAGGCCACTCGCACCGCAAAGCCGTGATCTGAGACTGGTTCATTCGGCATGGCGTGCGAGGCCGAGACAAGGCGCGGGAGAAGGGAACGAGAGACCAGTGCTCGATCGATCCGCGTGCTCTCCTGATGCGCATGCGCGTAAAAGGTAAACTCTCTTTTAAAGGGGTATAAGGCGTGAAAAGCGTCAGCAATGTCAAAGGCTTTGCAGCTTTGATAGAGGTAGTCATTTTTCCTTGTCGAACCCTGCTTCGACGTCTTATCTAACACCGGGTTTTCGACAATGTTGAGGTCCCCGATTATGAGCAGATTGGAGCCTGGTGGGATTTGGTCAATCGTCGGTCCTAAAACCGTCCTAATAAATGCTCGCCTCAAAGGTTTGTCTGCGGGGAGGTAGGTAGCAATCACTGTTAGAGTAAAGCTCGCGCACTGTATCTCAGTTCGTACTAATCTACCAGAAGGGAAAGCTATGGGGTTATGAAAGGTAAGGTCCGGTCTACGGCTGAGAACTGCTACACCGCCAGCTCGGGTAACCAGGGTTGCAGCTGAGAAAGATGTGAGATTGAGGGTGGACCAGTATGGGTGATCTGACGCTATCCTAGTATCTGAGAGAATCATGACATCCGCGGCTTTATCACTGTAAGTCCAGTCTGTCGTGCGTTTCCGTTTTGTGTTATCTCCCAGACCGTTGACATTCAGGCCCGCAAACGACAGGATGTTCCGTGTACTCATTTAATCACTGCCTGATCGCCTATACGCATCCACAGGCAGGTAAAGCAAAGAACGGCAACCACCAATGAGCCAAAAGCTACAGGCCATACTCCTTGCGAGTCGCATGCAGGTTCGCTTTCTCAATTGTCGCGCATGTGACAGCACCCAATTCCTCCTGACCATGAAGGTGACGAGCAGATGTGATGTGCTCTGCAGCAGTGACAAAGAGCTTTTCGCTGCGAGGCATGCATAACAGCCAGGCTCTGAAGGTAGCAATTATTGCATTGCAATGCAAGGCATCAAATCCCAGTTCGAGTGGAATTTCCGGGCAAGGCGTGAAATAGCTGTGCGTGAAAATCCCCGTCGCTAGTTGTCAGCATTTCCGTTGTAAGGCGTGAAACCCCTCTTGCAAAGCGTGTGGTATCCCCGTCGCAAGACGTGAGGATCGCTGTCGTAAGGCATGAAAAATCATCTCGCAAGGCGTTCGATATCCCCGTCGCCAGACGTACGAAATTCCCTGTTGGCCTGTCAGCAGTTTTCCTAAGCGCATCAGCGTCACTAAGGTCCCGCGCTCGCTATCGATCCGCTTCACTTTCGTTTTCTCGTTTGTTCATAGCATTTCATTTGTTGCATATATGTGCCGCGAGACGCTGTGAATGTTCCATTTCGATCGGTAGGCTTGGTCGTCGTCGTCACAGCTTAATGTAAGCAAATTACAACATCTTAGTAGATTCTAAGGGCGGTCGTCTCTCGTCGCTTATGAGCTGAGCATTGATATTTCCATCATTCCAGTGAAAACCCGATTGAGAGCAGGAAGGGACAAGCTAGCAGGTCTGAACGTGCACTACCTCCCCCTCACTAGTTGCGTGTCTTATCGTGCTCGTACTATACCCTCACCCCCCTTGTCCTCTCTCGTCATTAAAAGAATCTGTACCCTCGCCTCCCGTGCTCTTCCCTTCATTAACCAACGGAATCTGCAGCCTTGAGGACTTCTCGTACCCGTCTCCTCATCAGCTCTCAAACTTACCCCGCCCATCCTATCGTTCGCCACTCCTCCTTCTCGTTCCCCACTCCACCCCGGCTTCTCAGCTCGCCTTTTTTTCCCTCTGCCTCTGCATCTGTGCTGCCGGTTTTCAGCATCTCGCTTGCTGTATTTCGCATCTGCACCTCCCAGTTCACCAATTGCCGCCTCTGCTATCTTGACCTTCATTGAAGAACACTTGACGCTGCTATGTGAGTAGTAGCAGCTGGCACAATTTCCATAATTTCCACGTGTTCCACCCCCTAGCCGCTTCCTCGTGACCTCACTCTCATCATGAAGTGGCACTTTTAATATCAAGGCTTTTGATACCAACTATTTGAGTGTTTATTGTCCTTCATAGTATAATTTCACTTGTCACTGTTTATTCGCTTCCACCTCGCATTGACGAAAATGGGACTTCTCTTGCATTCTGTCACCGTCAAGAGCCTATCTCCTGTATTATCAAGGGAACATGTGAAGAAATCCCGATGCATCTAAGAAATTGCAAAGATCGTGTACTTGCTACCATGTTCTCCATTCATGTTCATGTTCATACTGTCGCATACTATTACCTTTTTTTGAGGCTGAGGGCGCTGGAAGGGCAGCTGGAGGAGACACGGAGGGGACTGGAGGAGGCTGAGAGGCACAGGGCAGAAGAGATGTCAATAGTGAGAGGGGAAATGTTAACAGTGCGAGGGGAACTGGTGACAGTAAGAGGAAAGCTGGTGACAGTAAGTGGGGAATTAGCTGGTCATCCCTGGCTTATACACTAGCTTATCAACCCCACCCTCCTCCCCAACCCCTTTCTGTCCCCCAAGTTTCGGCCCACCAGTCAAGCTCATGCCCTTCCCTTCCTCGCCCTTCCCTTTCTCGCCCTTCCCCTCCCTCGCCCTTTCCCTCCCTCGCCCTCTTCCCCCCTCACCCTTCCCCTCCCTCGCCCGCTCCTCTCTCTCCCGCAACCTGAAGCTGCAATGGGGCATGCGAGTGGGTGCGGTTGGGTGGGAGCGTGCTGATGGCAGGGTGCTCAGCGGCTCAGCCTGAGGCACTCATGCCTCGTGCATCCCTCATGGCGCCAGGGACTAGCCACATGGCTCAAGGCCCATGCATGGTGGGTGGTGGGCGATGGGTGGTGGGTGATGAATGATGGGTGATGGAAGACATGAGGAAATGGCGAACTCGAATGTGTTTGTCTCAAACTCAATCGAACACTTACCTTGGGCGTATCAGACGCGTTCGGTTTGCCTTAAACTTTTGTTTTTTCCAAAAATGGCGTTGGTGTGTTTGGGGTCACGGGTGAGCACTTATGGTTTGTCACGAACCCCTTCATGTTTGCCTCCAACTTCAATTAGTTCGAGTTCAAAGGACCGTCTGAGGATCATTCCAAGGAAGTTGAAGCTAGTTCTTGACATTTCGATTTGACAGTTGCAGTTCAAATTTCGCCCAACCAGCCCACCCCATCCCACCCCAGCCCACCCCACCCCACCCAAAACCCACCAATCCTCGCTTTCACTTCCGTACTGCCGTACCTACGCTAAACTTAATCATCGTGGCTACTAGATCTAACCCGCCACACTCCAGCCTCAGTGCTTAGCGTATTAATTGTTTAACCTAAAGTGGAAAGGGCCAAAACAGTTGTTTTGACGTGGGTGTGAGCATGGTGGCTGAAGGTATCGTGATGTTGATTTTCCAGTCTTAGTAGAGACCAGCGTGTCAAATTTGACTAGAGCCATGGGTGGAGCACTGGAGTGGAGTTGTATGTGAGTTGGAGCCGAGCCATTCTCGCGTTGTGCCCGCGTCCCTTCCCTTCCCGTTACCCCATCAGCTCCTCTCAAGGCGAAGCAGCGACGGCACGAGCGTTCTCCCATCCCAGCACAGCAGGGAGATGGCGGCGCTGGAAGGCACGGAGGGCTCGCGAGGCATGCGCACAGGCAGCTGCTCTGCCAGGCCATGTTGGGGGAGGGGGCGGGCAAGGACGCTGCAGAGGGGGCGGGGGCAGGGAGGCTCCGACAATTATGGTGGCTGCTGGTGCTGGGAGCGCTGTGATGAGGTCAGACGGCAACAGGTGAGAGGGGGCGGAGGGGAAGAAAGGAGAAGGGAGAGGAGGGGAGCATGAAAAGGAGAGGGGTGGGTGAAGGGAGAGGGGAGGGTGAAGAGGAGAGCGGAGGATGAAAGGGAGAGGGGAGGGCGGTATGTAACATATATTTTGTCCGTTTTGCTTCACAAGCACTTATTTTGTTTTGCACAGGCCTTTTTGTTTTGCACAGGCCCCTCCAGTTGTGTTCTCTCCATGTGCGTCTACTGCGGCGCCCTGCCTGCCGGCCTATGCAACGCATGCCGGGGGGAGGAAGGGAGTGGGTGTAGGCGCGGCAGCGGCCGAAGTGGATGCTGGATGGCGCATGGGAGGAGGGCATGCGACGGTGAGATGGGTGGGGTGCTGTGAGAAGGGATGGGATGGGATGATTTGTGGGATGGAGAGGGGTGGAGTGGCTGTGATGGGATGTGGGATGGGATGGGATGGGATGGGATGGGATGGGATGCGATGGGATGATGGGGTGTGGCACTGCATCGCGCAAATGCCATTGCGTCGTGTTGTGTTGTGTGTGCGCTCATCGTGCAACTGCCCTCTCCCTCGGTGCCTTCCCATGATTGCGTGCTCTATGCCATCACACTCACCATTACACCCTCCTGCCATCGTGCCACCATGCATGGACGGGAGAGAGGGAAGGGGAGGGACGGGAAAAGGGGGAAATGCATGGGGACAGGATGGGAACGGGAAGGAACTGTAGAGTGGGAATGGGAAGGGACAGGAGGGAGTTAAGGGGAGGGACGGGGGAGGGATAAGGACGAGACGGAACAGGGGGAGGGACAGGAGAGGGGGAAAAGGAAGGGACGCGACAGAGGGGAGGGGAGGGATAGGAACGGAGGAAAGGAGCTGGCCACTAGCAATGCCTGTGGCCGTCATCGCACTCAACGCTACTCGCGGTCATTGCATCTGCCACTCGCCTCAGCTGCAGCTACTTACTCGCCGCCACTGATCCTTGCATCCACCCCATCTGATGCTCCCCACCCCACCCACCCGTCGCTCCCATTGCCGCTTGTCGCGCTCGTGCCAGTTTTTTGCCTCGGCTCCCATCGCGTGGTGTTCGTTTGGTTCATCCCAGGCACGACCTTCGTTCATGCCTGCAACCGAAATCCATGGTTGTCACCTATTCCACAGGGCAGTCCCGGTTGGGAAGATTCCATCGACGATCCAACGGAGCGATCCTGGATGAGCCAAATTCGGAACTTACTGCTGAACGCAGGTTCCTCCCTGCCGCATAGTACACGTGTCGAGCGCAGTGCCGTTTTGGATGTCAAATAAACACCTCCCATCCTTACATTGCCTTGTGGTTCCTCCCTTTCGTCCATGTGCTCTCATCTTCTTCAACCTCCACTGTTGAGCGTAGTCCATGTCGTTTCTCTCCTCTACTTTGCTCCCATATTCTCCACTGCGGATCAGATTGCACATGGGATATAGGACTACGCTGGGATTCCATTTTCTCTTGCAGTGCTGCAAACCGTGTTAGTATTCTCTCACCCTTATTGTCGCTTCTTCACGCCACGTCAGCAACTGCTCGCCGTACTTAAGCGCGAGCTAGTTTTGCCTTTGTTATTTCGAATATAACATCAATAGCCTGTCGGACTGCCTCCTCGTTGAGATCTTTAGTGCCCTGCACGCAGCCCTGCGCGCCATGCACGTAGTATATTGACAGCCGCATGTTGATGCCCACATCCGCATATTTACCCTTCGATGATTATGTCACAGCCAAGACGCCCGTAGCATCCCCTCCTCCCCTCGCAGACGTCGCTCAGAATTTCCTCGTCGCGTCCGTCTGCTGCCGTTGCCGTCGCCTGACAAAGCTTCACGTGACGGCTCTATCCGTTAAATCAGAGCGCCATGGCGTTCCCGGAGCTGCTGGCGCGGGAGGCGTCCATCTATTCGCTCACGCTCGACGAGTTCCACGCGACGTTCGCAGGCTCGTCGCACGTCTTCGCTTTTTGGCCCATGGAAGACTTCCTGCGATCCGCCTCGCTCGCCGAGGAGTTGCACATGCTCGCCGCCGCGCATGCTGCCAGCAGCGCAGATCTGCACGCGCGCGACAAGGCCGCGGGGTTGCTGCGCGTGCGCTTGCTCCGACGGCAGAAGTCCGCCGCAGCGCTTCCGCGCGCGCTGACTGCGCGGACCAAGGAAGACGTGTGGAAAGACACTAAGGCGGAATTAGCGGAGGAGGGGGAAGCAGCGGAGCGGGGCGGAGCGTCAGCGGAAGGAACGCGAGGAAAAGGGGAGGCATAGCAGCAGCAAGCGTAGGGGCATGCGTGCTGAGGCTTAGCACAGGGTGTTGGGCTTGCAGAGGGAGATCGCGGCAATCAAAAGCGATACAGTTGAAGAAGATCGCTCAAAGCTTCACGTGAGCTTGAACGGATAACTTAAACTATGTCGCTTGATTTCGCTGGTTTTTGTACCAGAGGTATCTGCGCGTGGGAATTTGCTTGATCCATTGCTTTTTCCTGTTCATACTCCATGCGTTCAAGTTGGCTGTTACCTTACCTTCCTTGCTCTCATCAGCAAGCGTGTCATTTTTTCGCTGCGATAGGTCGATTGCATGAGGGTCTATTTTCCCTGCGGGTGTTGTTGCCGTCCGTCACGGTCACCTGTGTCGTGTTAGGGCTGAAGCGAGGGAGCGATCGTTTTTATCGTGATTGTCACCATCAGGATCCTCCCATGCGTATCGTGTTTTTTTATCCGAACCCCTCACTATTCCGCCTGTTCCTTTTTTGCCATTGTTAGAGCACTCGAAAGGTTGCCGGGATGGTGACTGCGCTAAAGAGGGGAAGCCCGAAATTGTCCGAAATCACAAAGAGACGATCCCGTTGGAAAGCCAACATACGTCATTGATAAATTTCTTTGCCCCCATGACGTATGCTGACTTCCCAACGGGATCGTCTCTTTGTGATTCCGGAAAACTTCGGCGCAGTCACCATCCCGACGCTAGAACTAATTGGCACCAGGCGATTTCCCTCGGCATCGTGTGCACACGCCCTGCGATTGCTGCTGTCACGCGCACATGGTGATCACTCTCGTCCTCCCCTCCCTCGCCTGTTTCCCACGCCTGCCCTCCAGGAACCTAGCCTGTCAGTGCTCTTCCTATCGGCAGCGGCAGTCGCAACGGGGGGTGCGAGCATCTTCGGCACACGATGGTGAGTGAAAAGGGTTGGAGAGTGAGAATCTAGGAGATGGTGAGTGGGTGAGGAGCGAGGAAGAGGAGGTGGGGGGGGCGGGGCGAAGGTGGGGGGAGAGGGGAGGAGAGAGAGAGAGAGAAATAGCGGAATAGATGTAGTCGAATTTTGTGGCATTTAAAGTTTGGTTTGGGCATTGTAACCTATCGCGTTGGTTCCTAGGACGCTAGGCTGAAGCACGCTCCTGTGACGCGTCCAAGCGCCCGACGCTCTTAAACCAAAGTGCCTGGCGCTTGCACGCGCCTGGGCGGTACGCTGGCTGGCTGGCGGTTGGGCGCTGGCGACTAGGTTGCTTGCACGTCAGCCGGCGGCACCTGGGGCACCGTGCTTAGCATGCTGACGCTTTGGCCCTGGCGCTCGGGGTGCTGATGCTTGGGTGCTGTCTTGGTGCCTAGTGTGCCGCCGTCTATGGTTGATGCACTTGCACTTTGTTCCAAGCAATCGTGCTCTACGCCACCTGCGCCACGCCACAACAGGGTGGTGCAACCCCGCTCACTCCCCTCCTCTGTGCTCCACGTCAGTTCTGCTGCTCCAACCAGCCCATTATCAAGGGCCTCGCATATCCCGTGGTGGTTGCCCTCTTGCATTTCCTGCAACACCTCAAGGCCCCTCACTCATGCAGCTTTCGCCAGTCTTCCTCCTCTGCCAAGTCGATCCGTTCCTTCTCCACCGTTGTCCCACCTACCTATCTTTTCCCACCTCCTCGCGCCTTGTATCTCACCTTCCCTTCCCCCCCCCTCTACCCCTGCACCCCCTTCCCTCCCCCCTCAATAGTGATTTCAGCGTTGGCGCTCGCCGTGTGCGCGAACTCTTGGCCGCCGCCAGCAAGGTCTTTTGAGGCGCCTTGCCTTGTGTGTATCCTCGGAACGACGAGATAGGCGCCATAGGCAGCAGCCGAGTTGAGCCGCAACCCCAAGGTCCAGCAGTGCATGGGGATGGCGCTCAAGCAGCTGCTTGTGGAGCTGGGCGGCCTCAAGCAGAAGCAGGGCGTGCTTGTGGTTGCTCGTGCCATGCGATAGCTACCAACTTGAACTTCCCCGAGAGCCTTTGACAAGGTGCTCGGCTCGTGCAGCCAGGCCGGGGCGGTTTGACTGCCACGTGGTCGTGCCTAACCCCGATGTGGAGGGGCGGCGGCAGATCCTCGGACACCACTTTGCAAGGTGCAGTGCGGTGGCCGTGGGTGCTGCATGCATGGGTGATGCATGCGTGGGTGCTGCATGCATGGGTGCTGCATGCGTGGGTGCTGCATGCATGGGTGCAGGGAAGTGTGCTGCCGCACATTCAGCTGACTATGCACACCTTCATTTCCTCCCTCCTCTCCTCCCTCTCACTCCCCCAACAGCATCATGGCCTTCCGCTCTCTTCTCCCCCCTCCCAGACCCCCCTCCCAGACGACATGGGCGTGTCGTGTCGGTGGTAGCGCGCGGCACGCCGGGCTTCAGCGGGGCAGACCTCGCCAACCCGGTGAACGTCGCTGCTGGGCGGGCAGCCATGGAGGGGCAGCGCACACACCGTGGGCGCCGAGCTCCGTGGGCGGCAAGGGGGTCACACGTGAGGGGAGCGGGACTTACCCACGGTCACTGCCACGCGCGGCGCGGCCAGCCAATGTGCCTGTGCTGTGTTGTGCTGTGGTGTGGGCGAGAGCAGCACGAGCGGACTTGCATCCCGCCACGCCACGCTCTCGGTGATGACCACCCCAATGGTCAGGGCGACAGGTGATGGCCATGGGTGGTGGGGGGTGGGGGAACGGCCATGGGTGATCTGGGATGGGGGATGGGGCATGGGGAATGGGCGATGGGGGATGGGGCATGGGGAATGGGCGATGGGGGATGGGGGATGCGGGATGCGGGGGATGGGGGATGGGGGAAGGGGGATGGGGGTTGGGGGATGGATGATGGGTCTCTCTCCTGTACCGCTCTCATGTGCCAATCGTCCTCGCCCTTCCCCTCCCATCCCTTCCCTTCCCTCGGCCTTCCCCTTCCCCGCCCTTCCCTTCCCTCGCCCTTCACATTTGTTCTCTTATGAGACATGAGCAGCGAGTTTTTTTTCCCTGGCTTAAACATGTTCCGACGGAACAAGGTCGCGAATGCACACAAGCTTATCAACCCCACCCTCCTTCCCCCCCGTTCTGTCCCCCAAGTTTCGGCCCGCCAGTCAAGCTCATGCCCTTTCCCTTCCTCGCCCTTCCCCTTTCTCGCCCGCCCCTCTCTCTCTCCTGCAGGTCTGAAGCAAGTGGGTGCAAGAGTGGTGGTTGCGGGGTGCTCAGCCAGGGCGCATACCTCGTGCAAGCCTCATGGCGCCAGGGACTAGCCACATGGCTCAAGGCCCATGCATGGTGGGTGCTGCCTGATGCTTGATGGCTGATGGTGGGTGGTGGCTGATGGGTGGTGGCTAATGGCTGATAGCTGATGGGTGGTGGGGGATGGGAGGTGGGTGGTGGGGGATGGGAGGTGGGTGGTAGGTGCGCGGAGTAACCACAGGTGTGTGCAACGGTAAGCAACGCTAACTATAGGCGTTCAGATGAGGCCATGAGTGTGAAGACCTGCCCGCTCTCCCCCCTCTCGCCCCTCACGCCACCGCCCTCCACCAACGCCCCCCATTCCATTCCGCCCGGTATCTTGTCCTGCACTGCTGCCGCCACCCACACGCCCTCTTCCCCCTGCTGTTGCGTCACCACGACACGACGCACGCGCAAGGCACTTGCGCACAAGGCGCTCTCCCCCCTAGGCATGAGCAAAATCGCGAACCCCTGTTCGGTTCGTCACAAACGTGTTTAGGACAAACCGAACAGGGGTATTTTTTTGCCCAAAAACGTTCGTAACAAACGCCCCCAGTTCGCCACCAACACGTTCGTGATGTTCGTCGCGTTCGTGGGACATAGGGCGAACGCAAACACGTTCGCCTTCAAAACAGGTTTGCCGCGAACCCTACAGTTATGTAGTGAACAAACTTGTAATTTCACCTCAAAGCGAGCTCAAATGAGCAGATCTGCCATTGTTATTCCCTCCCTACACACAGCCGCCCTAGAAACACATGACTTATAGCATTTCAGTTCAGGGTACTTAGGGAAATGACGTGATTATGATTTAGATAATTCGTTTTCTGGTTGACATTTCAAGAGCGATTTGTAGGTATCCCTTATCCATGCAGCTACCACAAGAAACCTGGGTGGTCTGCATTCAGGGAGGCCTCATTCGGCCACGGCCGAATGACTCGAGGGAACGCAGGGTGTCAAACATTATATGGGTTACATTATTGTAGGCTACAGTGGGTTAGCCTTTAGAGGGTTCACAATTCTAGGGTTTCATATTTGTACCCTCACTTGTTTCTAGTCAATCACACTTCTCATTCTTAACATGGTATCAGAGCTTAGGTTCTAGACCTAGGACTCACCTAAGGGCCCACCGTTAGAAGCGCCCTCGAGCGCCATATCGACCTAGCGCCCTCGAGCGCCGTTCTCCTAGTGCGCCCTCGTGCGCCTCGTCTTCTCCTGCTGCTTGTGCGCGGCTCGCTAGTGCCGCGCGCGGCCCTTTTTTTTCCCCGCGCGTCGCTCCCTAGCAGCCCGCGCACGGCCGTTTCTGAGCGCGCGCCGCCCGTTAGCCGCCCACGCCACCACGAGCAGCCCGTCGACCGGCCCTCCTGGCCGCGCGTAGCCCGCTAGCAACCGGCAGCCCCGCCCGTAGGCCGCCGCGTCGCCCTCTAGGCCGCCGCTCAAGCGCTAGTCAGGCCCACGCACAGCCACGGCCCGCCCGCTACAGCCGCCCACGTGCACGCCCTCCGTCGCGCACCGCCGCGTAGCCCAGCCCGAGCCGAACCGCGCCGCCCGAACCGAGCCGCGCCGCCCGAACCGAGCCGCGCCGCCCTACTGTGCCTCACCTGCAGCAACTCCTGTTCCTGTTCCTGCCGTACTACTGCTTCAGCTGCCACTGTTCCTGCTACTGCTACTGCTCCTACTGCTGCTACTGCCACTATGGCCACTCCCTCTGTTCTCACCTTTGACGCTGAGGGCCGCCCGATTAAGTTTGAGGTTTGGTTAGATGACCTCCACCTGTTACTCCAGATCACTGCCAAGGACGATGTCTCCCTGTATGACCACACGTCAGGCGCCGCTCCCGCACCTGCCACTACAGCTGACAGTACTGCTCGCTCCCAGTGGCAGACCCGTGATGCTCACGCTCGCCTAGCCGTTCGCAGCCACCTGCCGTTAGATGAGCGCGAACACTTCGGCCAGCATAAGACTGCTAAGGAGCTGTACGATGCAGTAGTTGCGCGCTACTCCTCCCCTGCCACTGCTGCGATAGGCCGTCTCTCACTGCCCTACCTCTTCCCCGATCTGTCCGCCTTTGCCACTGTAGCTGACCTCATCACTCACCTCCGTACCAGTGACCTCCGCTACCGTGCCGCTCTCCCCCCCGATTTCCTAGCCAAGAACCCTCCCCCTATGTACCTCACCCTCTACCACCTAGTCACTCGCCTCCCTGACACTCTTCGCACTGTCAGGGACCACTTTCTCGCTCTCTCACCCACCGACCTCACTGTCGACCTGCTCGAGAAGGAGCTCCTTGCAGCTGAGAAGAGTATTGTAGCTGTAGGTGCCTCTCGTGGCGACCCTCGCACTCCCTTCTTTGAGGGGTGTTCCCCCGTCCCCCTTCTCCCCTCCATTGCATCTGCTGCTGCTGTCGACTACCTCGGTGCTGAGGAGGTCGGGGCTGCGTCTGCTCCTAGTTGGAGGCGCAAGAGCGGCAAGGGCAAGGGGGGCAAGGGTGGCGGAGGTGGAGGCGGGGGCGGCGGCAGTGGAGGGGGTGGAGGAGGCGGGGGTGGTGGCGGTGGTGGGAGTGGTGCTGGTGGGGGGGGGGGCAGTGGCGGAGGAGGGGGTGGTGGCGGCGGCAATAGTGGGGGTGGCGGGGGTGGCGGTGGTAGTGGTGGCGGCGGTGGAGCTGGTGGCGGGCGCGGTGGGGCGGTGCAGCAGCGTGGAGGGTTCAGTGGTGGCCAGAGGCAGCAGCAGCAGCGTCCCAGCGAGACCCCGACCTCCCAGCAGCTCCGTGAGTGGTACTCTCAGCGTGGGGGGTCTGGGGGTGGAGGTACTTGCCCGTACCTTATCCGCACAGGTGACCGCACTGGCCAGACCTGTGGGAGGTTCCACACGGCACACCGCTGCTTCTTTCGTCTCGACGACGCCTGGCGTGCACAGTTTCCTGACGCCACTGAGTTGCCCCGCTGGGCTGATCTGATGAAAAAGAATATTGATGTCTTTGCTCTTGATTTTGATGCTATCCTTGGTGCTATGTATGCATTGACTATTATTGGAGAGAGTGACCAGTACCTGCGTGTCCCGCCTGACCCGGGCATTAGGACCGGTGAGGCTGCAGCTCTAGGTGCCAGTGTGTCTGTTGCCCCAGGTGCTGGTGAGACTGCCGCTCCAGGTGCTCGCGTGTCTGCTGCCCCAGGTGCTGGTGAGGCTGCTGCTCTAGGTGCTCGTGAGTCTGCGCCCTCTGGTACTGAGTCTACTGAGGCACTGCACACCTTCACACTGGACTCAGGTGCTTCTCGCTGTTTCTTTCGTGACCGCACTGCCCTAGAGCAGCTTGCTCGGCCGGTTGCTGTCTCCCTCGCTGACCCCTCTGGGGGTCCGGTCATTGCGACCTCCTCCACTGTCCTTCCTTGTCCTGCGGTCCTGTCGGGCACACTGTCAGGGCTCTACCTCCCCTCGTTCTCTACGAACTTGGTGGCGGGTCGTGCGCTCCAGGACGGGGGTGTCCACCAGTTCACCCCTGCCTTCGAGCGCGAGACACACTGCACGTGTGCTCGGACGGTCCGTCACCTGGCTACCTTCACTAGGCAGCCGGGGTCGGACCTGTACACACTGACCACTGAGTCCCCTCAGGTAGCTGCGTCTGCGTCTGCGTCAGGTCAGCTGTCGGCCCCCTGCTCGTGTCGCTCTCTAGCGCACGAGACCGTCCTCTGGCACCACCACCTTGGTCACCCGTCAGTGCAGCGCCTTCGTGGCATGCACAAACGGTACCTTGTCTCTGGTCTTCCCAGGGTTCTCCCTCCCCTCCCACCCTCGCCTGCTCCTCCCTGTCTTCCCTGTGTCGAGGGGCGGCAGCGCGCCGCTCCTCACTCCTCCTTGTTTCCCCCGACGACTGCTCCCCTGCAGACGCTCCACATGGACGTGTGGGGCCCAGCCCGCGTCCGTGGTCAGGGTCAGGAGAGGTACTTCCTGATAGTTGTTGACGACTACTCGCGCTACACCACGGTCTTCCCCTTGTGCACCAAGGGTGAAGTCCCTGATGTTTTGATCCCTTGGATCCGCGCTGCCCGTCTCCAGCTCCACGAGAGGTTCCACTCGGACTTTCCTGTCCTGCGTCTGCACTCTGACAGAGGTGGGGAGTTCTCCTCCGACCTCTTGAGGGCCTTCTGTCAGGGGGAGGGCATTGAGCAGTCGTTCACGCTTCCGGCCTCTCCACAACAGAATGGGGTTGCTGAGCGCCGCATTGGCTTGGTCATGGAGGTCGCTCGTACCTCCTTGATCCATGCGGCTGCCCCCCACTTTCTGTGGCCGTTTGCGGTCCGGTACGCTGCGCATCAGCTCAACCTCTGGCCCCGTGTTTCCTTGCCGGAGACCTCGCCCACACTGCTGTGGACGGGGAAGGTTGGCGATGTGTCACGTTTCCGGGTCTGGGGATCTCGAGCTTTTGTCCGCGATACGTCTACGGACAAGCTCTCCTCCCGCGCTGTTCCTTGTGTCTTCCTTGGCTTTGTCCCGGACGCGTCTGGTTGGCAGTTTTACCACGCCACCTCGCGCCGTGTCCTGCCCTCTCAGGACGTCACTTCTGACGAGTCGGTGCCCTACTACCGCCTCTTCCCCTACCGGACTGCCCCGCTCCCCCCCCCGCCTCTCTTCCTCGCGCCAGGTGCTGCTGTGGTAGACCCCCTCCCCCCTCAGGGTGCTGCTCCCTCAGGTGTGTCCCAGGTAGACCCGGTTGAGCCTGTCGAGGTAGCTGTCGACTCTCGTCTAGCTAGGGGTGCTGAGCCTGAGCGTGCGGAGCCTTGGGGTGCGGAGCCTGGGGGTGCGGAGCCTGGGGGTGCGGAGCCTGGGGTTGCGGAGTCTGGGGGTGCGGAGCCTGCGGGTGCTGAGTCTGGGGGTGCTGAGTCTGGGGGTGCTGAGCCTGGGAGTGCTACGTCTGAGGGTACTGAGCCAGAGGGTGCTGCGACTGAGAGTGCTACACCTGGAGGCGCTCTTTCCTCACAGCAGCTGCGTGAGTGGTACTTACAGTACTGCAGCCTCATGAGAGGTGCTGCTGGAGCTG